CAATCACAGGCTGTCTTTTTATTGATACGGCGTCGGTGAAAATCAAATTGCACGACTATTCGAAACCTTAAAAACAACGCGGCTAAAGACACGTGCGGGAACTTTTTTACCTTCTGAATGTTTTAGAACTCTGTTCGGTCAGTCTTGTGATCTTACTCACTGCAGTTAAAGCACAGCTAAATACAACATTTTTTGCTTTCATTTTGGATAGAGTAAGGACCAGTTCACACTGCATGCGATTCAGTTGCTTTTTTTTTTTGCATCCAATACAGAAAGTAGGTGATATTTATTTATTACAGGTACTTATATAGCGCCGTCAACTTACGCAGCGCTTTATGTATATATTGTACATTCACATCAGTCCCTAACCCTCAAGGGGCGTACAATCTAAGGTCCCTAACCCTCAAGGGGCGTTCAATCTAAAGTCCCTAACCCTCAAGGGGCGTTCAATCTAAGGTCCCTAACCCTCAAGGGGCGTACAATCTAAGGTCCCTAACCCTCAAGGGGCGTTCAATCTAAGGTCCCTAACCCTCAAGGGGCGTTCAATCTAAAGTCCCTAACCCTCAAGGGGCGTTCAATCTAAGGTCCCTAACCCTCAAGGGGCGTACAATCTAAAGTCCCCAACCCTCAAGGGGCGTACAATCTAAGGTCCCCAACCCTCAAGGGGCGTACAATCTAAGGTCCCTAACCCTCAAGGGGCGTTCAATCTAAGGTCCCTAACCCTCAAGGGGCGTTCAATCTAAAGTCCCTAACCCTCAAGGGGCGTTCAATCTAAGGTCCCTAACCCTCAAGGGGCGTACAATCTAAAGTCCCCAACCCTCAAGGGCGTACAATCTAAGGTCCCCAACCCTCAAGGGGCGTACAATCTAAGGTCCCCAACCCTCAAGGGGCGTACAATCTAAGGTCCCCAACCCTCAAGGGGCGTACAATCTAAGGTCCCCAACCCTCAAGGGGCGTACAATCTAAGGTCCCCACCCTCAAGGGGCGTACAATCTAAGGTCCCTAACCCTCAAGGGGCGTACAATCTAAGGTCCCTAAACCTCAAGGGGCGTACAATCTAAGGTCCCTAACCCTCAAGGGGCGTACAATCTAAGGTCCCTAACCCTCAAGGGGCGTACAATCTAAGGTCCCTAACCCTCAAGGGGAGTACAATCTAAGGTCCCTAACTCACATTCATACATACACATACTAGGGCCAATTTGGACAGGAGCCAATTCACCTACCAGCATGTCTTTGGAGTGTGGGAGGCAGGGGTGGACTGACAACTCATGGGGCCCCCGGGGAATAGGCGATCATGGGGCCCCTGTGTCCTTTCCCAAACTCAAAAAAGCCTATGAAAAAGGTACCAGGGGCATCTCATGGGGCCCCTACTGACCCTGGGCCCTCGGGCAGTGGCCGAGTTTCCAAATGGTCAGTCCGCTCGTGGTGGGAGGAAACCGGAGCACCCGGAGGAAACCCACGCAGGCACAGGGAGAACATGCAAACTCCAGGCAGGTGGTGCCATGGTTGGGATTCGAACCAACGACCCTCGTACTGCCAGGGAGAAGTGCTAACCATTTAGCCAGGGCTGTGGATAAGGGGGTACCACTGGTTCTCCTGTGCGGGGCCCAGACAGCTGGGTGAATCCGAAGGGAAGGGAGGGTGAGCCTCATGGCGGGGGGAGGGGGGTAATTACTGGAACCAATGCCCTGTATGGCTCTCTGCAGCAGCTGAAAGCTGGCTTCTTCTCCTCTCCCTCCTGCTGACTTTCAGCTGCTGCAGAGAGAGCCATACAGGGATCAGTTCCAACTGCCCATATGGTTGTTAATATCATAGTCCACATCAGTGCTTGCAGTTCCGGTTGCTGAAAAAAAAAATAAGACCAGGCTGCATTTTTTCTGGTCAGAACTGTACTGGAACACAGTAAAATGCATAAAAAACGCACTGGAAAGCACCAAAACGCATAAAAATGCACTGGAATGCACATGTTCCTATTTCAATTGAAGAAAGAGGGGACAAAATGAACTGGAATGCATAAAAATGTACTGGAACACACCAAAAACGCATAAAAAATGCACCGCAACGCATCAAAAACATGCACGTAGAAACGCACCTTGACTGCATTTCTACAGTGTGAACCAGCTCTAAGGAAGGTTATAACCCCTTTGTTTTTGTTTTTTATTATTGGGGAAATTTCCCTTCACTTCCTGTCCTATAACCAAAATAGGAAGTGAAAAGAAAACCCTCCAATGTGAGGAAATTCCTGCTTGTTACCAGTAGTGTTCCCATGGGAAGATTCCCCTCTATTAAGTTGGTATTTTCATTCATTTGAACTCTGATGACTATTTACAGCTCTTCAGATCACTGAGTGCCGGGGGTTGTAATAAATTTACACTGCTTTCAAAACTACATTTTCTATAGTTCCTGTGCCAAGCCCATAGTCACTGTACTGCTGTTCTGTTTGAGCCACAGTGAAAGAACACATTTCACGGGAACCCTTTAGATGTGCATGTTCCAGGGAGGGAGCAGGTCACTGGATGGTGTAGACTAAGGCTTTTTTGTCTCAGAGAATAGGTGCAGGTGCTCCCCCTTCTGAGTCACACCTTGTCTCCGACCCCTACTCCAAACACAATCCCTGTTGCTCTGGGAGCAACGATCTGCAGATGGATAACCAGCGTATGTGGGATAATTCAAATGGCACCAAATTCTTCTCAGTCTCGAAATGAACTCAGCAAGTAAGACAGGAAAGACTCATAGAGTAACACTGTATCAAAAATTTACTTGGTTCCACCCCCTACCCACCTCTGAGCACCATCCCTTGGTTTCACCCTCTACTCACCTCTGAGCACCATCAATTGGTTCCACCCCCTACCCACCTCTGAGCACCATCCCTTGGTTCCACCCCCTACCCACCTCGGAGCACCATCCCTTGGTTTCACCTTCTACCCACCTCTGAGCACCAATCCTTGTTTCCACCCCCTACCCACCTCGGAGCGCCATCCCTTTGTTCCACCCCCTACCCACCACTGAAAACCATCCCTTGGTTTCACCCCTACCCACCTCTGAGCGCCGTCCCTTGGTTCCACCCCCTACCCACCACTGAAAACCATCTCTTGGTTCCACCCCCTACCCACCTCTGAACACCATCGCTTGGTTCCACCTCCTACCCACCTCTGAGCACCATCCCCTGGTCCCCCCCCCCTACCCACCTCTGAACATCATCGCTTGGTTCCACCTCCTACCCACCTCTGAGCACCATCCCTTGGTTCTCCCCCCTACCCACCTCTGAACACCATCCCTTGATTCCACCCCTACCCACCTCTGAACACCATCCCTTGGTTCCACCCCCTACCCACCTCTGAACACCATCGCTTGGTTCCACCTCCTACCCACCTCTGAACACCACCCCTAGGTTCCACCCCCTACCCACCTCTAAGTACCATCCCTTGGTTCCACCCCTACCTACCTCTCAGTATAACTCCTTTTATGGAATACATGAGTATGGGAACCTAGTATAATTTGGCTGTGTTAAGTAATTTGTTTTCAGTTTGTTATTGATAACAACAAAAGGCAGTAAAATAGATCCCCTGAAGCCTTCAAGAAAAGACCCCACCAGCAACAATAGATCCACCCCAGCAACAACAGCCACCCCTTCACAGCAACAATAAATCCTCGCATGACAAAAGAATCCCCCCAGCAAAAATACCTTCCGAAACAAAATACCACTCCAGCAACAACAGATCTCCCAACAGCCAACAGACCTTTCTCTCAACAGTAGATCGCTCCCAGCAACAATTGACACCCCCCCCCCCCCAGCAAAAATAGATTTCCCATCAGCAATAATAGACCTTCCCAGCAACAACAGACCCCCCACACAAAAATAGATCCCCTCCAGCGAAAACAGACCCTCGAACCCACCCCAGCACCCCTTACCATCACATACATTGAGTGCTGGAGTTGCCGAAACTGCATCCCCCCCCCCATTCCTGCTGAAAAAAAGCCCTGGCCATAAATAGAATGTGAAGATGCATGAACGTCTTGTGTATAAATGATGTGTTTTTACGCACAATGAGGTTACGGATCAGAACGGGAGCAAGTGATCCCTGCACTGGGTTCCCAAGAAATCTGACAATGATTTTTAGGTCATAGCAATACTTGCTCTTTAACCTCCCTGGCGGTCTGATTATTTCAGATTTTTGGTGCTGAAAGCGGTACCATTATTTTGCATGGAAATATGTAGTTTTTTATTGTAGGCTGTAATTTTTAGGAATAACTCACTGAAATCTGTCCGAACAAGAGTCTAGTAAAACATCCCGGGGATGAAAATTTGAAACACAAAATAATAAATTATAATTTAATAAATAATCATAATAAATAATAATATAATAATAATACATTTAATTCAATAATATAATCAAACCAAAAACACTGAAATTTGAAATATAGCGCCAAGTTCGCACATCACTGAGCAAAGTCGCAGAATCGTTTTCAGTGTCTGATGACAAATTTTTCCACGAATCATTATCACTCAATTCTGCAAGTGGTTCTGATTTACTATCGCTGTTCTCTAGCTGATCTAAACCCGCTTTTGACCTAAAGGGACACTTTTTGGACGCCATGGACTTTTCTAAGTTTCCAGGCAGAAAGAACAGTCAAAATGCAGGCAGGGCGCCGGACAAAGCACTCGGGACAAAATGTATGTGAAATGGGTTGAAACAGCAATGTATTACTATGTAAAAACTTGTTTGGAAAAAAAATACATTTTTTTAAATTTTCAAATTTCCCGCCGCCGGCAGCACCCGTACGTCCCGACGTCACAGGGACCGGAAAACAGAAGCCGGATGCCGGCATCGGCTGGAGGAGATGGCCGGGGACGCTGCAGGGGGGACACATCGCGGGAGCGAAGGACAAGGTAAGTGCTGCAGGGAATCCATATGCAACGCCGCATGGTAAGCCCGAGTGTAGCTCGGGGTTACTGCTTTTGGTACTGACATGTTACCCCGAGCTACACTCGGGAATACCGCCAGGGAGGTTAAATGACCGGTTGGATTCCTACAAGGCAGGACAGAGTGACACCAAGCTGAAGTGTCATAAAAAGTCACAATTTGCATATAACTTCAGCTGTCTAAGGGCCGGTTCACACCATAGAAACAGTCCAGATGCGTTCCGGATGCATTTCCACGCACTCATTTTTGGTGCATTCCGGTACGTTTTTGACGATTTCAGGTGCATTCTTGGTGCGTTATGGTGCGTTTTTTTATGTTTTTACCGCGTTCCAGTACAGTTCTGTGCAGGAAAAATGCACTGTTTTACTTTTTTTTCTGCATCCAGAACGCACCGGAACTGCAAGCACTGATGTGAACGATGACATTGACAATCATATAACCAACTTTCTGTGCGTTTTAGATATAGAAAAAAGCAACTGAAATGCATGTAGTGTGATCTGGCCCTAAATCTCTACCCGCATGTGTCGATTTGTTCCACTTTAAGATCCCTCAGTCCTGATGAAAGCAGCTCCTCTTGGGAGGAGCTATGCAAATATCAAACATCTTTGATGGGTGGATGACAGTACGGAGAAGTGGGTGTTCCAAGAAAGGCTGTATTTGCATGGCCAATGTGCAGATGTGAGGCTGAGCCTCCATGGTTGATAGCAATGAATGAAAGGGGCGGACCTAGGACAGTCAGTTTGGGACGGAAAGAGCTAGATCAGGGGTCTCCGAACTGTGGCCTGTGGGCCATATGTGGCCCTTTATTTGCCTTTATGTGGCCCTTGGGGCACAATTCCTTCCACTGACACCAAAGATGGGGAACTATTCCTCCAACTGACACCAATGATGGGGCACTGTTCTTCCCACTGACACCAATGAAGGAGGACCATTCCTCTTACTGACACCAATAATGGGGCACCATTACTCCTACTGACATCAATGATGGGGCACTATTCCTCCTACTGACACCAATGATGGGGCACCATTCCTCCCACTGGCACCAATGATGGGGCACTCTATTCCTCCCACTGGCACCAATGATGGGGCACTCTATTCCTCCCACTGGCACCAATGATGGGGCACTCTATTCCTCCCAATGACACCAATGATGGGGTACTATTCCTCCCACTGAGGCCAATGATGATGCACTATTTTTCCCACTAACACCAATGATGGGTCACCATTCCTCCCACTGATACCAATGATAGGGCACTATTCCCACTGACACCAATGATAGGGCACTATTCCTCCCACTGACACCAATGATGGGGCACTATTCCTCCCACTGACACCAATGATGGGGCACTATTCCTCCCACTGACACCAATGATAGGGCACTATTCCTCCCACTGACACCAATGATAGGGCACTATTCTTCCCATTGACACCAATGATGGGGCACTATTCCTCCCACTGACACCAATGATAGGGCACTATTCCTCCCACTGACACCAATGATAGGGCACTATTCCTCCCATTGACACCAATGATGGGGCACTATTCCTCCCACTGATACCAACGATAGGGCACTATTCCTCCCACTGACACCAATGATGGAGCACCATTTCTCCGACTGACACCAATGATGGGGCACAATTCCTGTCACTGGCACTAATGATGTAATATTTTTTTCTCCCCACTGATCACCAAGCCTATGGCATGGTCTACTCCCACCAATGCCTGGACATTTTCTACTCCTGCTGGCTACAGTCCGGCCCCCATAATATTTGAAGGACAGTAAACTGGCCCTTTGTTTCCAAAGTTTGGAGACCCCTGAGCTAAATGATGCTGGATGTCCTGCAGGAAACGAGGCAGGCTTTGTCTTGACTTGTTTCAGCTTCTAACATTTAATCTGTTTATATTTAGCCTTCTGTGGGGTTCCTCCCTCCCCATTTCATCAACAATCTGATACAAAATTAACCTCTTCACGCCAGCCGAACGCAAATGTGCGGCCTCCCAAAGTCTGGGCCTAGACGCCGAGCGGCCACACATTTGCGTTCCATTAAAAAAGAACATATGTGCCGAGAGCGCACGCCCTGCGTGCTCCGGGCACACATGTCCGGTCCTCACGGAAAGGTCCCGATCTCCTCTTTCGATCGGGACCTATCCAGATCATGTGTCCGCCATGACAGCGTGTCACAGCGGTCACATGACCATAAACCCCGCCCCACCTCCCGGCTTCTGAAACCCTTAAAGGGCCGGGAGGCGCCGGCGTGAAGGGGCTCAAAAAAAAAATTCTGTTTTTTAGGTACCCCTGAGGAAGTCATGTGACCGTGACAACACGCGTTTGGCGGAGCTGGGTGATTGACAGCTGTAACTGGAAGTGGTGCAGGAGCCACGTCTCCGCTGTTTCATGTATATAAAAGTAATTTTCAGGTACGAGTAAAAAAGGGTCCTGCATCTTTTTGGTGCGGATGTGATGTGATTTGAGCCATACAAAAGATATGGCCGAAATCACACCGCACAGACATCGCATGTAATTCACACAGGAATGCGGTGCGGTTGCTGTGCAAATTACATGCGGTGTCCCGCAGTGCATTAGTGTGGACCCGGTCTTAGAGGTGAGTGCATATTGTGAACGGTGGTGGGGAACAGGATAAGGCACTAACAAGAACACCCCGGGTGAGAATCCAGATGAACTGGAATTATTCGAACACTTTATCAGCAAAGAGGACATTGATTGGATATGAACTTTGATTGTTATTAAAGCACACAATTATTTATCTGGGTGGTGTTTATTTTTTGGTCACAGTATTGCAAAATGTTACTTCGAATTTTCAGTAAGGCTACGTTCACACTAGTGTTGTGTGCAGGGCGGCAGAGAGGCGTTTGGGAAGCATTTATTTATCGCTTCCCAAACGCCTCTACCAATTCTGCACTTTGCAGCACATGGTGCTGTTCTAACGGGAGCGTTTGCATCGCCTCATAGCAAAACGGACGCCTCTGGTCGAGTCAGGAGGCGTAGAAGCCTCCTATTCTAGTCTATGGTGCCGATCCACAAACGCCCGGCAGGGGGCATTTGCGGAGCGGTAACACCACTCAAACTGCATTATAGGCGTTTGTGGGGCGTTATTAACGCTCGGCAAACGCCTAGAAACCGCCGCTAAACCGCACATGCGCCGTTTGCAGAGTGTTTGCCGAGCGTTACAAAACGCTCCGCAAACGCTGGACCAATGCTTGCCAAACGCTATAGGGGCGTTTGGCAAGCGTTGGGAAAACAGCCAAGTGTGAACGAGCCCTAAAAAAGGCGCGGCGGGAGTTTATGATTTAAACCACTTGCGCTTCAGAGTATTTACCCCCCCCTTACTTTAACTGACAATTGAGCGGTCATGCAACGTTGTACATAAAATAAATGTATATCATTTTTTTTTACCACAAATGAAGCTTTCCTTCAGTGGTATTTGATCATCTGTGCGATTTTTATTTTTTGCACTAAAAAAACAAAAAACAAAAAAAAAAAAAAAACGTTTTACTTTTTGCTATAAAACCTATAAAAAAAAAATAAAATGTGTCATAAATTTAGACCAAAATGTATTCTGCTACATGTCATTGCTAAATAAAAAAATCCAAATATGTGCAAATAGTTGGTTTACGTGAAAGTTATAGCGTCTATAAATGGCGGTGTATATACTGGGATTTTTATTTTATTTATTTTTTATACTACAGTAGTAATGGCGGCGATCATTCTGATACTGGGGGGGAGCTGACTAACTGCCACTGACATCCCCAGTGACACTAATACAATGATCACTGCTAAAAAAAAAAAAGCACTGACACTGTACAAATGACACTGGGCAGGAAGGGGTTAACATCTGGGTCGATCAAAGGGTTAACTGTGTGCTGGGTGTGTTTTACTAGGGAGACATGCTGCTGTGCAGAGAGATACAAAGCAGCATGTCCTTGCTAACAGGAGAGAGACCTGTGTTGTTTACACACAGGTCTCTCTCCTGTCAGCTTTGCCAACGATCACCAAGTCCTGGCAGGGAATCACCCCCATTGACATCCCCAGCCACCAATAGCGGCGTGGGTAGGGCGGTGCGCACGCCCCCTACCCAGAAATGCAAATCACACACACACATATATATATATTGTGGGAACTCGCTTCAAGTGGTAGAGCTCTTCTCGTTAAAGCACACAGCAACTCGCTTCTTTAAGGGCCTTTTTGCCCAATTTTATTTAAAAGAAAGTTCACATAACACAAATGCTTCCCCACAGGGGTATCCACCATCAAACAAATTCAGCCTTCTGGCTCTTTCAGCTACACAGCTCACTGTCTGTCTCCTGCAGACTCTTCCCAAATTATGACCACTAGCACACAGCTAGTCTGGCTTCCACCTGCCTCCAAGGCAGAGAACCACCTGTCTGCCGGGGTGGACCTGACTCCGTTTGCCGGGGTGGAGCCCAGAATCATGACCTGGCCTCCACAAAAAGGCCTGCACACACCTGTGCAATCAGCAAGCTGGCTGCTCCCAAAATATGGGCCAGGATAAATTTTCATCCCTCCCAAATCTCTAAGAACATCTCCAGGCTACAGGTCCCAAAACAGGCTTTACCAACCAAAGAGGAAACTGATAAACCAGTTTCCTCTGCATTAGGAGATCTGCCTGGAGCCCCCTCACCTCTATGGTTGAGAATCCTGGGTCTCCATCGTGCTTTCCACCGTGGCAGGATACCGCAAATCACAATATATATATATATATATATATATACTCACACGTGATTTTGCGCAGCCCTACTGCCCTGTAGCAGTATGCTGACAGGAGAGAGATCTGTGTTGTTTACACACAGATCTCTCCCCTCTCAGCCCAGCCAACAATCACCGCTGACACTGAAATCCCCCAGTAGCCAATAACAGCGCGGGTAGGGCAGCGCGGGCATCCGCACGCGCCCCTACCCGGAAATTCAAAATCACATATATTTATGTGATTTTGTGCAGCATAGCCACCCTGTATATCTGCTATGGGGTGACAGGGAACTGGTTAATATATACCTCATTTAGCATCACTGGATCTCTGTGCTTCTCTATGCAATGTAGGCAGATCATGGCTGGTGGGAGGGGCCAGCCACAG